TATATATATATATATATATAAAAATTATTATTATTTTTTTTATTTTATTTTTAGTTATTTTTTGGGGGAGGGCACTAGCACCCAATCTGAAACATACAAGTAAAAACAAATAATAGTTCATTTTAATGTCACACACTTTTCAAGGAGCTCAGTGAGAAACACTGGGGCTTTTCAGGCTCGTATAGTATACTGTTCCCCAGACAGTTCTTGACATTCCAACAGAGTCACATAAAGCTATTGCCTAAAGTTATCCTTTTCCAATTTCCATTAAGGGAAACTGTGTTTGTGTATCCCTGAACATATAAATATGTCTGTAGACAAAAATAAAGAGACCTGCAGGGGGGAAAAGGCAAACAGCCACTGGGTTATGATGTGAAAAATGATTGGATCCTAATTGGTGAGACACAACAGTGTCCCAGTCTAGTTGAAAACAAGACACAGACGGGTTTTCACCTATGTTGTCTGCGACCGACAGCGTGTCCTCATGCTTGAAGGACAAGCTGGAGAGCTGAGGGGTGTGGTGGGACGGCGTGTGACCATAAGAGGGGTTGCTGTCTAAACCCACAGCTCCATAACCTGTGAGGAAAAACAACAAGAGAAGAAATGGAAACAAATGGATCCTCCTTTCTGGCTGAGTCATTATAGATCTCACAAATGTATTAATGTATTAACATTATGAAGTCTGCAAAACCCTCAGTATTAGGTCAGTTGTGTATGCCGCCCCTTGTAGTAACTCTCACTTCCTGGCAGCGTTACCACACATTCATCACATGACAAAAATCGTCTTTTCTTGTAACATATTCCTTTTTCCTCTCTTCTATCGTTGGCCTTGTGGTTGCAATATTTATGGCGGGTGGAAAAAGAAATTTGGCAAACACACAAGAGACAGACCAAGAATGAACTACTGTTGAGGAAGCTCTATGAGAAAAATCATTGAGGAGAAATGAATAGGACTTATATAAAATTAAATGCAGAAGATAATCATAATATATGGTATTGTAATTATATTAGAGCATTCTATATCAGTATGACACATTAAAGCTGAGGCTAAATGACAAAGTTGTATGAGCTCATGACATGTTTTTTAAAAAAAAAAAAAACATCCTGAGTCAGGCCTGAGCTGGAAGTTTAATTTTTTGTAGAAAAATGACTCAAAGTCTTAAATCCTTGCTTCATTGAAACTATTTTTTTAGTCTTATTACTTCATCAAATGCAATTTTCCACCGAGCAAACAGAATAATGTTGTGCACACAAATGGCTTAAGACTAAACATACACCGGTGCCGTTTATGATTAAGGCTTTATATTAACGCCGAGAGAAGAATTATGTTTAAATCCAAGATTCCAAGATTACAGAAAATAACATATAAATTCTATCTATCGTGTTTTACCAGCCGTTTAAAAAGTTCCTTAAATGAACACGTTTGTGTTTCATTGTTCATTTTTTTCTCAGTTTAAGTCTCGCAAGATGATTAGAAAGTTTTGAAAAACTGAAAAGACATTGTGACCCTTTCAGCTTTCTTATTCTGACCAAGGAAGACGCGTTGCTGTTCAAACATAGCAACAAAGGTCAAGAGGTTTCCTTTTTGATTACGCTCAAAGGACCATTTTATTTTGATGGGTGCTTTTAGTTGATTTTGATTTAGTGGTTAAATAAAGGAGTCTTCACAGCTACTCATTAAAATACATGCATGAATTTGTACCATTATTATTATCATATCTCGTCACACAGCTCATGTGTCATTTTCATTACTTTTCGTCTGTCTAAACAGGTCTCACTTGTAAATGAGTCTTCGAGGCTCAGTGTGATTTATCTGTATAAATAAAGGTCGAATGAATCATTGTTCCTGTTACACAATTAACTAAACCCTTGACTGTTGGGTTCTGATAAATATGCTCTAACAGTTGTTCTTGACATCCTGTTCAGAATCAAAATGACTGACATCTTCAAATATTTGGAGACAAAAACACACATTTTACAGCGAAGCGTTGTGTTTAAAATTACATTGAACTGGTTGGTGTTGATGACAGCTTGTTTTGTTTCTCTAGTTTGATGCCAGTGAGAGCAAACGAGTGTGAGACTGGCCATAAAGATGCTCACCCTGGTTCCTGGGTGCAGGGGGGCTGTCCACACAGCTGGGCAGGTAGGCTCCGCTCGCAAACATCCTTGGTTGACTTGCTGTCGACTCTCCAAAGGCGCCAACTCGACAGGGGCCTGAGCCCGTTAATTGGCCAGAGAAGTGCACAGTGAAAGCCCCGAGTCCACAGTGAGGGTCCTCCATTGGGTCTGTGGTCCCCCAGCTTGGCTCCTGCTTAATGAGGGAGTGGTGAGAGTTCAGGGAGCTGTAGGGAGAACCAGGGTGGAGGTCCAGCAGCTGGGTCCACTGACCACTGCCAACAGACATCCCACAGCCACCAACAGCTCCTGGTAGGGAAGGCACAGGGGGTGCTGGGGGTAAGAAGGTCAGATCACAAACATCTGACCCCACTGACATGGCTCCACACGCTTCAGTCAGCATTAGTGAACGCAGGTTAGGAAAGTCTTCACTGGAAGGAATGGTACTCCGTTTAAAAGAAGTTTAAAAAAGTCACAAAATCCTAACAATAATCAAAGAAACGAGAAGCGGAGGAGAGAAGTCTTCAAAAAGTTCTCATGAAACGCTGTAAAAGCCATCTTTTCTCCTCATCAGGATGGAGTGAAGAAACAAAACGAATGGACCAATATCTGGATCTGGATGCCAAACTTCAAGCTCCCCGTGTACCTGCAGAGGGTCCAAGTGGGAGTCTGTCTCCACATTATCTGCTTTTCCTTATTCTCCTGAACGCTGAAATACTGCATAACTCTGAACAGGGGGAGGAGCGAGACAGCCTGAGAAGAGGATGTCTCATCTTTGCCTTGACCCAGAACCAAAGAGTGCACGTATGAGCACATTCTGACTGATGTCACACTTCACTTTATAAAGATGTTGCTGTTCGATCGCTGTTTGATGTTTGTGTGTCGCTCCTGATGGTGTTTGAGTGAATTGATTGACTAAGGACGGCATAAAGCGCTACGGACATGTTATAGTTCCACACATAATTCAGAGTATTGTTATAGATTTTTAAAAAATCAGTACTTTGTATGTATTGAAAACAGTCAAAACGTGAGTACTAATTTTGAATGAAACATATATAAACTCAAGAAAATGTTTTAAAATGAATTCCTAGGGGGAGTGGCGCAGAGGTTAGAGAAGGTGGGCCTGTGATCGGAAGGTCGTCGGTTCGACTCCCCGGACTGACAACATCAAAATGTGGGTGGGAAAGGTAAAACACCCACACCTGCCTCCGCCCTCATTTGCTCCACTCTGGGCTGTTGAGCAAGGCCCTTAACTCCCACCATTTGCTCCCAAAACAGGTCTCTCTTGAAAATGAGTCCTCATGATTTAATGAGACTACCTGCATGAATAAAGGTTAAATAGAAAAAAAAATAACAACAAATTCAAACGATTCCTGAAAGCAACAAAAGCTGGCACAGTTTGGTAAGTAATGTAGCTAAAACAGCATTTTAAAGAAAATAAAAAAAGTGTGAAAAATTAGTAAGAAGATTAAAAAAAAAACAGCTGTTCTGACAAGTTTGTTCTTTTAGTATGGCCTGGGTGAGTGTACGTATTTTTGTACCTAAAAGATTTTTTTCAGCAATTCTTGTTTTTTTTATACAACAAGCTTGACGTAAAGTAAATACTATTAATTAAAATGTAACACTTGAAGCTTTGAAACGTGACTTGTTCCTAATGTCCCACTTTTTGATAACTTTGTCAAATGAGATTTCATAAAATGCATGGATTGAAGCCACGTCACACAAAAGGATAATTATTTAAGAGTAGTGTGTGTGTGTTTGTGTGTGTGCGTGTGTGGGATGGGGGTGAGGATGACCCAGTGAGACAGAAGTTTTGACTTTGACTCTCACTTTATTCTAAGACGAGCTCCACAGGAATGCAGCAGCCTCCGTGTGTTTTTATGGAACCAGCTGCTGTGAATCTTTTAACATTTTATTTGTCAAATCAACACGTGGACACCCCCACCCCTTAAAGACTGGAAGGACTCAAACTGGGTTACAAGTTTTGGTTCCCTTGTTTTGTTTTTAAGCATAGTCTGTAAAATAATGTTCTGGAATACCAAAGGCTGGTATGTTTATGAAACCATAAGTTTTTCCCCTAGTCATTTGACATTATTGTCATCATATGACCCCCTCCCCTGTTTGTTTTAAATCACTTTTTAAAACTCATTTTTTTCTCCTTGGGTTTTGACACCACCTGAGATGTTGAGTCCAGTTTTAGTTTATTGTACACTGTAAAAAAAAAATTGTATAGTTTACGGTGAAATACCGGCAGCTTGCCAGAATTTCACCGTAGAAATACGGTCACAATGTATGACACGTTACGGTATGATATTTTGGCAATCGTCACTTTAACAGTAGAGAATTGTTATTTATTTACTATAAATTACTATTGAAAAACAGATATACTTACTACAAATTGCTGTAAAAATAGCAGTCACAATATAAACCTGATTACAGTAAACTCTTAAAAATAACAGCTATACCGTAAACATAATTACAGTCTATATCAGTAAAACACACGGCAAAACTGTATGATATATTACGGTATTTTATTGTAAAGTTCAACTTTATGGTAAATTACCAGCAGCTGTGGTTGCCAGAATTTCACTGTAAAATAAAATACAGTATCGTATAACACATGAGGAATTACAATTTGTCAGTGTTTGCTTATGCTAAATTACAAAGGAAATAACAAATTAAGCCCATTAGTTATAACTAATTTAATTAAATTGATTGATCTATTTGTTTTTCATTAATATAAGTATTTTTTTGTTTGCTGTTTTCATTATGTATTGTGACTACTGATGGTTTTATTGACTGTGACTGTGCAGCACTTTGGTCCAAAGGTTTCTTTAAAGTGCTTTATAATAAAAGCTTGTATGATGTGATATTATTGTTTTCTGCTTCTTGCAAATAAATCTTTTTTAGGCGTTTATTTCTGTTAAAAACTGTGGGAACCTCTGGGGCCGAGATAGGGTAGAGGCAGGGCAGCCGACCTGAGACCCCAGCCATTCCCACATGTCGTGGTGCCTCTGAGCAAGACACCCAATCCCCAATTGCTCCCTAGGCGCCTACATGCCCACCGCCTCAACTGGGTGCATCCCAGGTGCAATGGGCTAAATGCAGAGAACCATTTTCGCCATTGATGGGACCATACAATGATGACAACACATAGCACTTTAATATCTCTCTTTTAAGCCTCATGCTGAAAACTTGGTAAAGAAATTGAAAATAAAACTGGGTTCCTTTTTCAGAAATAGGTCCTGTCTAATTCTAAATGCTAGGAAACACGACTGCTGCTTTCCTTCCTTCCATTGACTATAGTAACACTATTTACATGCATTCTCCTGCAAGCACCTTGCAGGTGTTGGAGACAACATAGAGATATTGGAGAACTGAACTGTGCAGAATTCCAAGTGTGAAACGTCTCTCCGTTGGCTCCCTGTCAAATTCAGAATTAAATTCAAAATCTTACTTCTAACCTACAAAGTTCTCAACAACCTAGCTCCAGCTTATATTACAGATCTTGTTGTTCCATGTTTTCCTAACAGAGCACTTCGCTCTCAGACTACTGGCTTACTTGTGGTTACAAAAGCAGAATGGGAGGAAGATCTTTCAGTTATCAGGTGTGGGGTTTTGGTTCTGTCTCTGTCTGTTTCCTCATGTTTCCAGCCCTCAGTGTTTTCCCTTGTATTCAGCCCCTGTCTCACCTGTGTCTAATGTTCATCACCACAGGTGTCTGTCATTGTCCTAGTCAGTGTGTATATATTCAGTTCACTGGTGTCTTGTCTTTGTCTCGGGATTGTCCTTATGGTGTGTTTCTGCCTTCCTTTCCGTGTCCTGTCCACCTGTGAGTACGCTGCCCCGTCAGTTTTTGCTTTGTTTCGTTTTTGTAAAATAAATACGTTTGATCTTTTCATCGAGCCTCCTGTCATCCTCCTGCAATTGGGTTCAACACCCCTGACGGCAAAACACGACATCAGGCTCCTCTCTTGTGGAGCTAACTTCCAGTTTCTGTCTGTAAGGCTGACACATAGTCCAGTTTTAAGACTCGGCTTAAGACTTTCCTTATTGATAAATCCTATAGTTAGGGTTGGCTTGTTATGCTGCCATAGACTACTGGAGGACAAAATGACCTCATTTCCTTAAATGAATTGTTAAAATTGAATAGTTTTCATTTGATACTGAAATATAATTTTATCAGATAATCCATCCATCCATTATCTTTACCCACTTATTCCATTTTGGGTCACGGGGGTCGCTGGTGCCCATGTCCAGCAATCACTGTGCGAGGGGCGGGGTACACCCTGGACAGGTCGCAAGTCCATCACAGGGTCACATAGAGACAAATGAGACAAACAACCATTCACTCTCTCACTCACTCCTAGGACCAATTTAGAGTTACCAATCAGCCTAACATGCATGTTTTTGGTTTGTGGGAGGAAACCGGAGCACCCGGAGAAAACCCACGCATGCACCGAGAGAACATGCAAACTCCACCCAGAAAGGCCCCCGGACCGGGGTTTGAACCAAGGACCTGCTCGCTGAGAGGCTATCAGATAATATATTAATTTAATGAAATGTCTAGATATATATATCCTGTTTTGTTATTTAGAATGATATTGTGTTAAAACACGATCTGATCCCATTTCCAGTAGAAGATGTAGTTTTAGCTACATGCCTACAACTCCCAACATTCACACACCCACCCATTATAGAGCACAAGATGGTGAGAAATTATTGGTTGAGAGCTGGGTCACATGATAGAGTAGGACTTCCCATTCGTTGATGGTGACTCCTCCTGGGAGGTGTGGCCAAGCTCCGAAGAAGATGGGTTTCCAGTTTACAATCAGGGCCATTGTGTATGACCGCATGGTGAGGTGGCAATGACCCAGGGCTGGTGATCTTTGTATTTTACATGTGGGTAAAATAAACCTTCTGAAATAGATGACAATTGCTCCTCCTCTCCCTGTTTCAGATATAGAATATATATTATAACAATCCGGACTTGCGACCCGTCCAGGATGTACCCCGCTCCTCGCACAGTGATTGCTGGACATGAGCACCAGTGACCCCCGTGACCCAAAATGGAATAAGCGAGTAAAGATAATGGATGGATGGATTATAACAATCCTAGTTCTATCTTACATGTGATTCTTGACCTGCCATTGTGTATCTGTTCCTCCTTCCTGTTCCTCTCAAACCCAGCCAGTCGAAGCAGATGGCCGTTTGTTCTGAGCCTGGTTCTGATAAAGGTTTCTTCCTCATGAGTCATGTGGGAGTTTTTCCTTTCCACTGTTGCCTTAATGCTTGCTCAGGATGAGCATCTGCTATGAAGTTAAACTCAAAGCAGTCTGCTCCTCAGATAAATAATAATGTTATTAACTTACTTTGTATGTATATGAATGTTTCTGTTCAGTT